TTTAATACAGAAAGTTTGACACAAAGTTGTATTATTTATACAGGAAAGGATGCTTCATACTAACCTTCTTCACTGTAGCATCGATGTTATATAATAATCATTGTTAAAGGCAAAACCCGAACACTTACTGGTTATGACAGGCCTAATCGATTTTTAACGAGCTAAAACTAATTACATTATCCTTATTTTTTTGCAGGTGCCCATTGTGTATGTTAATCAACCTTGATTGTTCTGTTAATTTTAAGTTGTCCTGTTATCATGTGACCATCAGATCTAAGGTCAGGTAACTCTGTCAAACACAAAGGAAGCAGTATAGACAAATTGTCACTGACTGATCAACAGGCAGATGTATCGGCGTGAAAAACCAATCAGGCATATCCAGGCTTTGATTTAAACTTATTCAGCTAAGAAGTCTACAGATAAAATGTCATGTGATATTTCAATTAATTCTGGGCCAGTGGAACATTTAAACTAATTTAATTGGTGTCAAATGACAGCGCTCTGATCTGATAAAGACACTTGTAACAGAGTCAACAGATTGTGTGGCAGTACTTATAGATGACATGAGATTGTTGTTTCTGATCTAGACATCCAGCACCTCACCAGCACTTTAGTGCACAACTTCAGTGTGTCAAACTATCCACTGTCTGTCCTACCCCACCACGTGGGCCACAAGTCATTATAGCACTACCTAGATATGCCTCTCACCCCAAAAGGTCATCAATCTAAAGACATTTCTTCCTTAACAAACTTTAAATTCATTGTCTACAAAAAGCAGTATGGTCTAAATGCTGTATTAAAGTCCTAAGAACTTTGCTGTGATCTTACATGGTTTCAGAATATTGATTTTCCTTCATGTGTAGAAAGACAATACATTCAGCATTAAGAAAGTAGAAAGAAGTTTTTTAGATAAATTTTAAGTACTGAAAGATTTCAGATCAGCAATGAATCAACTTGAATTTTCAGCAGGAGGCTAGAAACTAATGACCTCACACTTTCTGGCCTCACACTCTCTTGGTAAACACTCTACTAGTTGGCTGATTAGACACCCCCTGGAGTCAAGACCATTAATTCTGATAACAAAACTGCCACAGCACTATCCCTATACAAGTTAAATTCATCATGAATGGATACAGTGTTGTTATAGTCACAGTACATATACAATATGAAATCAGGGAATCACGGTATCATATCAGTATAAAATCTCCTTGTAATCTCAGCATTTTCAGTAACATATTTTTAAAATTGATTATACCCATCTTTAAAATCCAAGAGATCTTCAATTTTCACTGATACAATTTGTAAAATGAGTATTACAGAATTCAGACGTGACGTGTTCAATTAAGTAAAGGTCCTTTTTCAGCATCAACGAACAGGTGTTAGCCTAGCACCTGTCAACCTTTTACACTTAGAACCAATCTAACAGCTAACAATACATCTTCAGGCCTGGCCAATATTCTTCATGGGTGCATTTCAATTTCAATATTTGCAATGTAATACAAATTTTAAAAAGTACAATGACAGAAGTTATCATTTATTTAACTCATGTCTGAGGAACACAAATATTCGTAAATAAATGTAATAAACAGTTTCATAAAATATTTCACATCATGTTTAAGATCAAACTGGTCGCACAACTGTAATCAGTGTATGTCTTGAAAATATCGAAATATTTTATTAAAAATTTAAAATTACAAAATTTACTTAGCATAGTAAGTTCACATGTATGGCATTAAGATGGAATGTTTTGAAAATATTTACTATTTCATTAAAAATAAACAATCACAAAATTTGCTTTGGTCTACATGCATGAAATGAAAATGGAATGTTTAGAAAATGTCAACATTTTGTTAAAATGAAATAATCACAAATTTTAGCCAACATGTATGGCATTAAGATAAAATGGATAAATAAGTCTGTTGCTGTTATATGATGTGTCTGCAACTTATTTTTGTATTTCAACTTTAGAATATACACAAACAGTTCCGTAAGCTTTGTTCACTATGTCATTAATTTTCAGAGTAAGAATTGCTGAAAAAAAGTTGCTTACAATACACAGTCATATAACAATATGTAATTACATATTCATCAAATATATGTATACTTAAAATCTTTTATTGAAGTCTTTTTGAACTTTTGTTTTTAACCATCATGTAAAAATGTGCCCAACCTCTGACTTTGAGTAAGATTTATTTAGGTGTTGGCAACTGGGGTCCAGTGGTAAGAGCACCCCCTCACTTCAAGTAAGGTATGTATTGGCCCCCTAGGGTCCTGTAATAGGCCCTTCCCCCTAAATTTGAGTAAGAAGCCATGTGTTGGCCCCTGGGGTTCTGAAATAAGCCGAACGTCTGACTTTGAGTAAGAAGTAATGTGTTGACCTCTTGGGTCCTGTAATAAGGCCACCACCTAAATTTGAGTAAGAAGCTATGTGTTGACCCTGGGGTCCCGTAATAAGCCCACCCCCTGACTTTGAGTTAGAAGTAATGTTGGCCCACTTGGCTTAGTGCAGGACTTATAATCCTACTCAAACTTTCAGGTTATTATGCACTGATTTGATTTCACTTGCAAAATGACACAAATAAATGCAACAATGACAATATCATATTTGGAACAGGCACAAACATCTAAATAAAATGACCACTTTAAATTAATGCTATTTTTCTCAATGATTATAAACTGTTGTGTGGAACTTAACAACACAATCATTAGAATGACGTTAAAATCATCTCAAAATATTACTGTATTTTGAAACATATACAATAATCCAGTGACACATTTGACAAATGAAAAACTATTGGAAGAAATGATGCTGGTAGGTTGTACTGCTGTGTATTCATGACGGCAGTGTGTCTCCTGACTATCAATAAATATAAATTTTGATGCGTAGCAGACATAAAAATATTTAGGAAGGAATTCATACCTTTAATTGTGACAACCTGACGAGAAAAATATCATAATATGCTAGTCAAAGATACTGAAGTCAATATCCAGTACATTTTGAACCAATTCTCATCTCCACCATCAGTAAATATACTGAAACTAGAGCACCACAATGGACACCGGATCCCCCTACTTTCAACTGAATCAATACAATATAGAAATTAGACTTTCACCAATACATTTCTAATCAAGAGGAAGGATTTTACCAGACTTTGTTCATGAAATGTTTGTAAAGAACTATCTTGAGTCATGTCAAGTATACAACCTGTAGATCTGGAGTTTAAAGCTGGAATCACCGCCAGATTTGAATTCGAAAAGGGTACATGCTTAATATACAGGTCGTTAGTCAAAAAAAGATTCACTTAAATTCATTGGCTTAGACAAAATAGGTTGTGTAGTCAAAATATATGAGTTAAATTTGGTGGCTTAGTAAAAATAGGTTGTGTAGTCAAAATATATAACAATTAAGTTTAGTGGCTTTGTCAAAAAGGTTGTGTAGTCAAAATATGTAAAGGTTAAATTTGGTGGTTTAGTCAAAATAGGTTGTGTAGTCAAAATATGCAATGGTTAAATTTGGTGATTTAGTAAAAATAGGAAAATAGGTTGTGTAGTCAAAATATTTAATATGGTCAAATTTCACAACCAAGGAACCTCAGCACTTATCCCAGGCAATACATCAAACAAACACATCTGAAACTTGATGAAAAGTGTATTTATATAACATATATTCACCACTTTTCCATTAGCTTAAACATACATTTTGATTATCCTATCAATAATATTACAAAATACAACTTTAAATTTCAAAGAATATAACTATAAGCTGCAGTTTGATTTTTGATTTTGTAATTACGGATTCTGGCAGATGTGGTTCACTAAATAGATTTACAAACTAGTTTTATAAAGTACCAGTGAGGTATCAATCAGAGCCGAGATCTGTTAAATATCAGTAACCCTATTTTAATGGTGAAATTTAGTAAAATGGACCCTTTTGATTATGTTATTGTGGGAATGTCACTATGAAAATCTATTCCTTTCCCCAAAATATATTTCTGTAACCAGGATTCCAAATTCTAGACTGATGAATACAATTAATATAACTGAAGTCCATTATCAAACATTTCTGTCCGTAATGTGAGTTTCTTGGACTATCGGTGTCCGGATTATTGCAGGTCCAAAACAACACTAGTTGATAAGCCCACCCCTTTGTTTAACTTGTATTACTGTATCAATTAGTGTTATTCTAATATCATATTCAATAGTTTCTTCTTCTCAAACTTTGACTAATGATAAATATGATTTTTCATGATCAATCATTTTAAAAATTTTACATGCAAAAATTTAAGATTGACTGTGTTTTTTTATAACCAGTAGAATTACTGTATATGAAGTTATAAAATAAGCAATTTCACTATAAAATGCATTAAAACAATATTTCTGAACATAATTAGATATTATCCCTCCCAAATTTAATTATTTTGTCAGATTATTATGTAGATTTCCAGTAGGATTTATAATTGTTGAGATATAGTGTTGACCCTTATATATACACCAACACTATACAAATTCCTTTATTTTACTGAGGACCAGGCTGCCTTAGGTTATCACAGGTAATCAAGATCAGTGAAAATCGCAATCTTATACATATATGTGTCAGTAGTTTATACTTGTAAACAACAGTTAAGTCTCAATCTACACTCTGAAGATCTGGCTAAATTCTTGTTGGATCCTCTTGTTGTAGTTTTATTGTTCAAAGTGTAAAAATCATAAAATCTAAATATATTATTACTTTATAACTTTGTTTCACGATGACCACACACATGTCGAGGAGATAAGGCACAACACATACATATCATATATAGTACACAATCACAATAATTTTGATATGGACAATATGTGTGGGTATATATTTCAAAAATATTGCTTTCAATCTTTAAATATAGATTTCTATATTCAATACATAATGAATGTCACATGTTCAATACAGTACACATTCAATGACATATAATGCCAGTCAATATATAGCACTGTTATTCATGAAGTAAGACTATCTGTCCTTAATGATATGCAAGAAATGTTTTGATTGGTCTACACCATCGATGACTGGTTTGAAGGAGTGATTTGGTTGGCTATTTCTTGTTCAGTTGTCTCCCCATCTGAATCCGCTGATGGAAGTCTACTAGTCCATTCTGAACAAAGGCTAGCTTCTCTGAGGAACTGAAAGTTAAGTCAATCTCTTTTTAGACACCATAGTAATGCTTTATACAAAAACATGCTCCATTTGTTAAATCTACAGTACCTTCATATCCCAGCTATAAACACTGCAGTACTTTAAAGCATAATTGAGTACAATACTTTAAAAATAAATCATCCTTCATAAAGATGTTAGTTTTCTGAAATCTGTTTAAAAGAGGAAATGAACCCGGTTGGTACCTACCCTCAGGTGTTCCTCCACATTGGCTAAGGACTGATCTATCCAGTCCACTCCTCCATTCATACGGCAAGCATGCTTTGTGACAAGAACAAGATGGCTTACTGATAGTACTAGGGCCGTACATCTAAAACAGAAATAGGAAAACTCATACAACTTCCAAAAGGCACATTTTTAAAGGTCAAAGTGCAACATGTATTAAGCTCAGTAATATTCAGGTCAAAGGTCAAACTTATAGTGTTGATATACATGTATAGAGGTGTCAATAGGGATTGAAGTTACATCATATAGGTACTGTTTTAAAGGAGATACTTACCTTATCTCAAGGTGACAAGGGTCCAGATGGAGATTTTGACCTTGTCTCAAGTAGACAAGGGTTAAGTGGGGATCCTGACCTTGAATCAAGTATACAAGGGTACAAAGGGGATACTGACCTTACCTCAAGTAGACAGGGGTACAGAGATGATGGATACTAACCTTACCTCAAGTAGACAGGGTAAAGAGGGGATACTGACCTTACCTCAAGTAGACAGGGTAAAGAGGGGATACTGACCTTACCTCAAGTAGACAGGGGTACAGAGATAGATACTAAACCTGACCTAACCTCAAGTAGACAGGGGTACAGAGATAGATACTAACCTTACCTCAAGTAGACAGGGGTACAGAGATAGATACTAACCTTACCTCAAGTAGACAGGGGTACAGAGATGGATATTAACCTTACCTCAAGTAGACAGGGGTACAGAGATGATGGATACTAACCTTACCTCAAGTAGACAGGGGTAAAGAGGGGACCTTACCTCAAGTAGACCTTACCTCAAGTAGACAGGGGTAAAGAGGGGATACTGACCTAACCTCAAGTAGACAGGGGTACAGAGATAGATACTAACCTTACCTCAAGTAGACAGGGGTACAGAGATAGATACTAACCTTACCTCAAGTAGACAGGGGTACAGAGATGGATATTAACCTTACCTCAAGTAGACAGGGGTACAGAGATGATGGATACTAACCTTACCTCAAGTAGACAGGGGTACAGAGATAGATACTAACCTTACCTCAAGTAGACAGGGTAAAGAGGGGATACTGACCTTACCTCAAGTAGACAGGGGTAAAGAGGGGATACTGACCTAACCTCAAGTAGACAGGGGTACAGAGATAGATACTAACCTTACCTCAAGTAGACAGGGGTACAGAGATGGATATTAACCTTACCTCAAGTAGACAGGGTAAAGAGGGGATACTGACCTTTCCTCAAGTAGACAGGGGTACAGAGGGGATTCTGACGTTGCCTTGAGTAGACAGGGGTACAGAGGAGATTCTGACCTTGCCTCAAGTAGACAGGTGTACAGAGGGAGATACTAACCTTGCCTCAAGTAGATGGGTGTACAGAGGGAGATACTAACCTTGCCTCAAGTAGACGGGGGTCCAGAGGGGGATACATGGAACTGACTACCTCATCCACCCTTGGATTAATTCTCTTGGCAACAGCAATGATATCAGTTAGTAATTCCTGCGTTTGAATCATCTGAGAGTTTCCCATTGTAATGGCAACAAGCCTCTCTGTTAGATGATGGCAGGTCTTTAGTATGGAAATACAGTGTGGCATTAGACCTCTGAAATATTGATATTTAACAGAAAAAAAGAGCTGTAATTATGAATGAAATTAAACAATCTTCATATGAACAAAAGTGAAATTTGAGAATGAGTTTTGAAATGTATCCAGACTGAACAAGCCATAACTCTGCCAAAAGTCTATCATATCAAATGATAAAAATTTCAATGTACATTGATATTGTAATGAGACAGACATGTAAAGTTACATGCTAATTAATATCCAACACTCTATGTTTTCAAAATTGTCCTTCATGAAAATATTTACCTCTTTACTTGACAGAAAAATCTTCAAACAAAATTTAAATGGATGTATCTGTAACTTATCACAGATCTCTATTAAGGTTTTAGAGTAAATATTTCCTTAAGGCAAATTTTAATTTCATTGATCTTTTTTCAGTGACAATATTATCTTGTTAAATATTCACTTACGTGGCATCATCCACCCAGTTCTCATCTTGGAGGATGGCATCCAGCCGTGGGTTGTTTATCCGAACATCATCCAGTTCTACATCAGTTATCTGCCCCTGAGGGCTGTCCTGAATCAACTGAATATCAGGCCTGTAAAACACATTAAAGGGAACTCAGTTGAATTACTCTTCATTGATCATATGTAATTTTTATATGAACAATCCTTTAAATAAATATTAAAGAAATTCAACTGTCAGAAAAATAAAAATTGTGTCCTAATTTTAACAACAAAATATATTACCCAGATTACATAGTGCATTATATCATTTGTAGTAGTACATTTACGACAAATTTCAAACACAGTAAAACTGAGTTACAACAGGTAATCAGCTGGTAGTACATACCATCTTTGACCTAGCTATTTCAACTCTAGTGTCTTAAAGCAGGTCAGGAGAGTACGGGGTATAATGTTTGTAATGCGAGGATTTTAAAGGGCGTACAACCCTACACAATTTCATTGAACACATTTGTCCTATTTCAAACACTTGACTAATGACCTCGAGACGCTCTAACCAACCCAGCCCATTATAAAATGAATCCAAATATGACATTCTTTCTGTAAATATTTGTTTTCTATATATATCCCAATATAATATTCTTTATGCAAATATTTTTTTATCTATATACAGTATAATTGAATTTTTAATATTCACACGACTGAATAAGATAATTATCTGTTTTTATAGGAAAACATTTCCATAAAACTGAACATACAATTCTGAGACCATATTTACTACCTAGTATAAATCAAACTTTGTGTGTGTACTAAACCATCACTTATGTTAGCTACATTGTAACTCCTTCACACCTACCACAGTACACGATCCAACTCAACATGTTCAGGTGAGCCACATCTATACACATCTGATAAAAAGTAACAAACATCCCTCACCTGAACAGTAATAATAACATTCTATATCTAACCCCATCTGAACTACATTAGTGTTATCATGAACATCGTTTACAAATTGAATATATTTACTGTATTTCATTATGATGGGTATTATCAAAAGTCAAAAATCAATAAAACATCAATAAATGTAGGAAACAAACAAAAGACAGGAAGTACTCCATTTACTTCAGAAATCAGTAAAGACCGTTGTGAAGTATGTTGATAGTCTGGGGAGAGTACACACATACTCAACTTACATTTAACATGGTTGGCGGTTTCATCAAGGTTTATATTTTAAAAGAAGAAGAAATAAAAAAAATTCATTTTGGACATTTTGTATTTGTGATAAATCAAAATATCTAAACATGTACAGCTATGGATCAAGGGGAACACTGCACCTGGTATTTAAGAAGAACCATTAAGCACTTGTCATGAAAAAGAATGGACAAAGAAACCGTTGCAAAGAGTGACTGAAACGCCCCCATCATCAGATGGTGGAAGGATAAAAATGTATCACTAGCAAAGGGCACATCTAAATGTCATCATGCACATATATATACACAAAATCACATACACGAAATTAATTCATCTTCAGTTTTTAATGCATATTAAATCAGTGTGTTGACAGGTTGGGGACTGTTATAGCCGTACCACTGTGATGCCAATTTGTGTTTACAGCGCTTAGTGAATTAACACTACCTGAAGTTTTACTATGGTATGTATATGGAGATGCTACAGTCTATAAATCAGTGTATTAACATACTGGACTGAATAATTACTATAAATATACCTAACTGTATACCGTAAATGTTACAGTACATACCAGGTCACAGTACTACAACTTACTGTAAACCGTAAATGTTATAAAAAGTCTTAAAACTCGCTACTTTCTGTTTGACATTAAACTTTAAACAAGTATAAAGGAGTCATTGTGACCAGGTTATGACATTTCAGTGTGATGGCACTGTACAAGTGCCCTTGACTCAGTATATATATATAATCATTCCATCAAGATCAATGTTATTAAATTCTTTACCAAAGAAAAACATCTAAACAAAAAATATTTTTTTCTTTTTTTTTTTCGCCTATCACAAAATCTCAAGACAGAACAGGAAAAACAAAATAACATATAAATTTGATTTCCACAACAATTTCACGGTTTATCTATACCCACACTAAAACACAGGTATCTGATGTATGGCTGTGTGATTTAATCCTGTTACAGTAAACAATTACATTTGATGTCCACAGTTACCTATCCTGAAAAGGGCCACCATAAAAATTTAGACTTAAAGTAAATGGTTGGGTTGTTGAACATTGAAATAGTCTGGGATTAAAATTTAACTTAACAGCAATATACAATGTAATGTATATCAACAGACATGGGTGCATAAATATGGACAAGTTGTCTTTGTAACTTCATTGGGTCAGCCAGTATATAATGTATATATATATATAATCTGAATCTTAGTTACTGCCCACCAGTCTTATTTTATTTGTTCTTTAAAAGTCGGATCTTTTCCCTTCTTTACTCTTCATTCCTCCTGTCTGCTCCTCATCATATATATATTAATTACTTTTAAGAAAAAGAAAAAATAATCTTGAACAAGCATTTTCATTTACCAATTTCCTTATGTCATCATCCCATAATATAAAAAGTCGACATCTTTTTATAACATTGGCTAATTCAAAGAAAGGCTCCAATAACAAATCTAAAATATACTGCAATCTTTGTTAGAATTATAAGGATCATCTTTAATTTCTTTTCACACTATGAATCCATAATACAAAAAACAGCATGTTCTCTTGGCATAAACTGCTTCACTGTTTATTAAGGGTATATTTCCTATTTTGCATTAAGACTCCATAACCTAGAATATAATTGAAAATTAATCCTTAATCAAGTTGCAAAATCAATGTGGCTGCCTGTAAGCAATTTTTTTATCAGTCCCAAAATCAAAATGCATAACTGAGGACAAAGGGCAATTTGAACCTTCATATATAAAACTTTACTAAGATCCATCCTTTCTTTCTCAAGAATTAAATGACATCAAACTTTCATTCTTAGAATCCAAGATGGCCAACTGAATGTCAGCCATCTTGTTTTCTCATCCATCCCAAAATCAAAGGGCACAACTAGGCACCATTGGGATCCTACAAATGAAATTTGGAAAGATCCCTCTAATCCTTCTCAAGAAATAGAGATATCAAACTTTCATTGGTCAAATCCAAGAAAGCAACCTGCCAGCCGTTAAGCTTTTCGATCAATCCCAGAACCAAAAGAGAACATGAAATGGACCAAGGAGAAAACTTCACATGCAATTTGAGAAAGTTTCTTTCAGTCCTTACCAAGAACAAGTGTTAACGAGAATCGTATACAGACTGCATGACCACAGACCACGGACCATGTATGCAGGACTGATGACGATGTGTTGAATATCAAGTGTTTAACATTACAAATTGCATCATTGATAAAAATTTACTTCTGTAGTCTCCTATTATGTGTCATATATCTATTTTTTTCATGCAAGTTTATAATTTCTGAAAAATTTTGCATGCATCCTGCAAGTTCATTTTCCAAAAATGATCCATGATCCTGAAAAGTCAACAATTATATCACACAAATCAGAATTGGAAATCCAACAAAATCTGGATAGAATATCATTGCAGATAATTATCTTGCACCAATTGGGCAAGAATGTGAATGCTAGGAAACATCTAATGTAATATCAATTGTAGGCCTATGAAAGCACAATGATTTCAAAGCCTGACTGACAGACAATTTTGCTTTGTTTAGCTAAGATTTAAGAGGTAAACGCACTTAGCTACTTTAAAAGTCAGTGTGGCTGTTTGCCAGCCAGGTAATTTAACCTTCATTAGTTGATGCTAACCTTGATTAAAAAAAAAACCAGACATCACCCGATATGAACAGTCATGCCAAACATACAAGAGCATGCATTTCAACAAGAAAGCAACACGTCAACATTGTATTATTTTGAACTAAAATTTATGTGATAACGTTTGTATTCTTAAAAGCAGACAGTGTTTAATGATAGTATATCTTACATCACCACGTTAAAATCAAAGGTCATAATTATTGACTTCCGAAATAAATGAGTTGTCTGTAATCGGTAACCCATAAATATCCTGATCCTACAACTTGTACATAATAAAGTGTAATCAATGACAACCTGTATGGATTCTTGTCATTACAACGCATGACTCAACTCTGAAACACCAGACAGATATCCTGAGTCAACTCTGAAACACCAGACAGACGTTCTGAGTCAACTCTGAAACACCAGACAGATGTTCTGAGTCAACTCTGAAACACCAGACAGATGTTCTGAGTCAACTCTGAAACACCAGACAGATGTGCTGAGTCAACTCTGAAACACCAGACAGATGTCCTGAGTCAACTCTGAAACACCAGACAGATATCCTGAGTCAACTCTGAAACACCAGACAGATGTTCTGAGTCAACTCTGAAACACCAGACAGACGTTCTGAGTCAACTCTGAAACACCAGACAGATGTTCTGAGTCAACTCTGAAACACCAGACAGATGTTCTGAGTCAACTCTGAAACACCAGACAGATGTGCTGACTCAACTCTGAAACACCAGACAGACGTTCTGAGTCAACTCTGAAACACCAGACAGATGTGCTGAGTCAACTCTGAAACACCAGACAGATGTCCTGAGTCAACTCTGAAACACCAGACAGATGTCCTGAGTCAACTCTGAAACACCAGACAGATGTCCTGAGTCAACTCTGAAACACCAGACAGATATCCTGAGTCAACTCTGAAACACCAGACAGATGTTCTGAGTCAACTCTGAAACACCAGACAGACGTTCTGAGTCAACTCTGAAACACCAGACAGATGTTCTGAGTCAACTCTGAAACACCAGACAGATGTTCTGAGTCAACTCTGAAACACCAGACAGATGTGCTGGCTCAACTCTGAAACACCAGACAGACGTTCTGAGTCAACTCTGAAACACCAGACAGATGTGCTGAGTCAACTCTGAAACACCAGACAGATGTCCTGAGTCAACTCTGAAACACCAGACAGATATCCTGAGTCAACTCTGAAACACCAGACAGACGTTCTGAGTCAACTCTGAAACACCAGACAGATGTTCTGAGTCAACTCTGAAACACCAGATAGATGTTCTGAACCAACTCTAAAACACCAGACAGATGTTTTGAGCCAACTCTGAAATGCTAGACAAATGTCCCAAATCAATTCTGAAACACTAGACTGATGCCCTGAGTAAACTCTGAAACACAAGACAGATGCCTGGAGTCAACTTTGCATTACCAGACAGATGTTCTGAGTCAACTCTGAAATGCTAGACAAATGTCCTAAGTCAAATCTGAAATATCAAATAGATATTCTGAGTCAATCTCAAAATGCAGACAACGTTTCTTAGTTAAATATGAAATGGCAGACAGAATTGTTCTCATGATGTCACCAGACAGATATTCAGAGTGAACTTTTGAATGACAGGCTAGTCAATCTAGCTCTTAAAGGACATAAAAGTCTTCTTTAAAATGGACAAAGGGTAATAACTCTTCAATAAGTTGGAAGATTTGACTAACCACAATAATACAGACAAAGCTCACTTTTGTCACACATGCTTGAATCGAATATGTTGGATAATTTGAATGTTTAGTTTGATCACGTAATCTTTCTTCTTAAGATAAAATAAACACGGATGATTTGAACACTGGTGAATTAAATACTGCATTCATGTCAAATATACTTTGTGGTCCTTAGTCCATGCCTTCTAAATTCTACCGAAATTTCCTTTTTTGTGTCAAACATTTCGGTGTCATACTCATAGTTTTCAGACCATGTCAGTTAAAAATACTATTTCTTACATGGACAGGTTAGTTTATGATTAAAATCATATATTTGAATTCTTTTATTCCTACTTTTAACAGTTTATCTAACTAAAAGATAACATTATCATATTAAAACATAAATGCTTTCATTTCTCTATTACTTATTTATTACTTAACGTCATGCTATGAGACATGTATCTAATAAACAAATGATAGAAATAGGGTCAATCTGCTTTGCACAATGTTTCTGTTCATAGAAACAAAAGAAAGTCGAACCGTCAGATAAGTTGAATATTTCTGTTGGTCCCTTCGACATGACTGAGCTTTACTATATACGACATCCATGCCAATACCAGATTAAAAGTTACTGTAATTGTTCATAACATGGAATAAAAGACACTGTCTGGGCACAATGATCAAGAGGCTGTATTCATATCTTGTGGTAAGTGGAGGACAGCCCATCACCACATGGTACAAGAAAACAAAATTTGTTCATTGAAAACATACAACATATTCTTGTACAAACTATAATAAAGTGGACAGTTACAGGAAACCTACAGCTCATGCTAGTAGGACAGTGGGCCAACTGAAACTTTTCATCTTTTAATCAAATATATGTATTTGTAGAGATTGACACTCAAATTATGCTGACCTTGTTGCCTTGAGAAACCTACCTTGTGTCTTTATGTTGCGATGAAATGAGATCTGTTCCTTTTTTACACCTGTATTTACACACAACAAACAGTCCCACAAGTGATGCCAAGAAGATGGTTGCCAACACACCAATCGCTACAGCGACCACCGTATCCATGGTTTCCATTAGGATAACCGTCCAGGTGAAGGTGTCGACACCGGGTCGCAGATGCACATTGTCCTACATCCTGACTCGCCTGGAAAAACAAGACACCAAATATCATGTATTATACATAATACTACAAATTTTCCTCCTGCTGAGCTTTAAGTTTATGGAAATACATGTATGTGCCTCAACTTATACAACATGACACACAAGTAAAAGTCATTGGTAACTCTTCAGTGTCTGATACAACCATTTCATGCCCTGACTTTACACTTTAAGAAGATTATTTTCTTGCTAATGTTCTGTTTGAAATTAGAATAATGATTATAAAAAGGTAGCAATTTGTTTTACAGAGGATGAATTAGAGTAAAAAAGAAAAAAATGCTGAAATTTAAGCTCAAATATAATCACAAGTTTAACTGTATAAGGTGCCTGCTTCAACTCCATTACAAATTTGAAAAAAAAATCAAAATGCAAATACATGGTTAACAGCAATTTATTTTGTTGGAGATCAAATATGATGGAGGGATGAGGAAACAAGATGTGCCAAAATCTGGACCCAGATCTGCAATCTGACCCAAGGAATGACACAATACAAACAGCTGGCCTAGGTGGTGACAAATTATCTTTATCTTCTTTCAGGAATAAATCAGAACAAGAAATGTCAACAACTCATAGAAAATGGTCAACAGAGATTGCAAATCCAATGGTGGACATCCTGAATCTCTATTTACAAATGGAGACTCTTCTGAGTTAAGTCTACCCCTCAATATCTATTTAAAATGTTTTCACTGCCTTACAACACTTATTTGTTGTCAATTCCCTTCACTAACAAACAGTACCATTAAAACAAGTAGACTGATTGTATGTACCACTTTGTTATATCAAATTTTATTCTCAGCTTGAAAGGTTTTATCAGGTATACGTTACTGCAGCAAATATTAATTAGATGGATTTATTGCACAACAGAGAAGCTTAAGTATCTGATATATTTACAAAGTCAGGTACTACATATAATCAGTTTACACAGATTAAAGTCACTATGTTACTCATCCACAACAGTACCTGTTCCTCGATCCTGAGTGAAGCTATAATTAGCCTATATCTAGGTCACCTTAATTAGCTAAGAAGAGTTAGTGTGTTATAAACAATAATGTTTGTCCTGAGCCTTAGTGTCCGCCCTTTATAGATTTACTGCTCCACTGAACATGAATTGAGAATCAACCTCATATTAATGACCGATAACGAAAAACGATCAATTTCTTTATGAAGACTGCATCATTATGTTGTCAAATCATGAATGAAGTCACTCAATGTTTTGGTACAACAGGTAATGAATGTACATTACACTTCAATATATGTATATCTTAGAAGTTGCACATATCTTAGTTTACAAAATTATCACACAACCAACAATATTTGAACTCTCCAACAAAAATAATGGTCAAACCATCATTGAATTTTTTAAGACATTATTGAGGAACTATCCTTATCATTTTATAAACTTTGTAAATAGAAATATTAAAAATCTATAAGAACTCCTAAGAGTGCTATATTCACTGATACACCTAGTCGATCATACACTCTCCATTATCACCATCAGAGTAATTCCAGGGCATCCCAAATGCAGGGAAGGCATTCAAAACTTCTGTGCTAGATTAATATGTTAATTCTCCAAATAATTTTGGTTCAACCCAGCTTGTCACAGAGCCAAGAGTGTGTACGTAATTCCTGTGGTAGGTCAGTTTATAAAGATTTTCTACTATAACCAGTTCAGGATATAAATTGACTTAAGTTTTTTGTAAAATAATGGTGATGTGGTATGTTTTTTCAAATGGATCGATTTAAGATCTTGTCACCATTATCATACTCAATGATAATTCTGACACTGAATTGCTTGAAGCAAAGCAGCTGACATCCTTGATGACATGTTTCAATTCACTTATCTCCCCTTGACAGGCTAATCAATCTGTGTTTGTCAGCAACATCAGAATTTTGAGAAATATGACAAATGGAATTCCCAACCCAGAAATCAACTACAACTGCTGATGTAAATCACACTGTATCAATTTCTCCACAAATATGTGAGCAGAGCCAATGGCAAATTAAAATCTTGTGATTATTTGTAAAAGTCTCTCTTGATGACATCCTTGCTATTCTGTCATTAACTTACTTTATTTTCTGTAAACCTTTTGTTTGTTTCTGTATACCTTACTACATTGTCAATAACAATTCTACCAGACATGCATTACTTTCAAATTCAAACATCTTTAGAACTCTGTACTTTTAAACAACGTCCCAGTTTTGCTGACTGTAGAACTTTATAAAAATTCTGACAAAAGTTTAGCATGTTAAGCAAATTCTGACAAAAGATTAACATGTTCAGCAAATTCTGACAAAAGTTTAGCGTGTTCATAACACTAACTGACTGTCGTTTAACAAGCCCAACAAGTTTAGTATACAAAGAACATTTGACATGTTGGGTTTAAACTGGCATACTCTGACACTAATTTAAGTTTTAAAAGTTTGACACATTCAACATAACTGATTAAAATTAAACAAGTTTAGAGTATACTGACAATTCAGTTAATGAATTTAACGTGTTCAGTATATATATACTTACATGTTTTGTATATGTTGACTAAAAGCATAAATTAGACACATATAGCATATGTATAGCATACATATAAATGACTTTCAAAGTTTATGTTATTGTACTACTCCAATGTATTATTTTGATTCAAAATTATCAAGCGGTTATTGCTACCACATACATGGACTGACTAAACCCATCAATCATGGCACTGTATAGTTAATAAAATGACTGCACTGTTAGCATATAATCAGCAAAAACTGTACACTGATACATAACAAAGCATTATACACTACTAATACACAGCCAACTGGTCACATTCACTCGACCTCACGTGCCAGTCAAACATTTCAAACAAAACACTTCAAATGTTATTAAAATAGAGGTTATTTTAGAACTTACCTATCTAAATCAGAAGGACAGTAAGTACATATTAATTACCGTCTGCCGAGGTATATATCCTAACTTCCAACAACCACATCAATACTGAATGTCACTCACCTTTAGGTCTCAGTACAGGTAAAACCATGCTGTCTACAGTAAACTTTAGTGTGATCACACATACATAAACAGTCCAGGGAAACTTGATGAGATATTATCCAATACCTTTTAAAAGCCATCAGAGAAGTAGAGTGGGAAGATCACATTTGCCTTAAACTCTTGTTTTACATTTTTTAAGTTGTACAACCACCTTGGAACAACGAACTTCTCCATTCAAGACATCTGTATATGCTCCTGCTACCATAGAGTATCATAACATCAAGTTCTTCATTTTGTGGTGGGGGGTCTCCTTGTAGAAACTAGTGGCTACCTCATAAACAACATATGAAACCCCTCACATGTCGGAATATAGATGCAAATAGAGTAAAGTCTTTTGCCGAAGGACACGACCACAACAGCACAGACTTGTTTGTTTCTAAGCTTTCTGGTAAACACAGTCATGGACAGGAGAATCACAGGGCTGATTAGGCAGGACATTCAATCTTATAACACATTCCTTACTATTTATAGGAGATTGAAAGTCTCTATTGGAGAACTTGGAATTTAAAGATGTCATTGTTTTCAGGGGGAAAGACTGTCTAAAGGATGGAGTTGGCGCACTAGCGTTAAACATATTGAATATGAATCATGCACAATTTGGTTTCCATATAATTATGACTGTCCACTTCAAAGAAAGCTGTGTAAATACTTTAGGCAAATGAATGTGAATGTAAAAGTAAAAAGCATGTACTGTTTTATGAGGATGTATCTGTGAATGAAAGTTGAATGTGTCTGTTCTCTAAGTTTTTGTGCTGTGTTGTAAGTAACTGTGACCATGGTCTTTTGTGTTTTTAATGTACAATGTTTTTTGTGAGCATTTATGTAAACATTTTCTATAAAAATAAAACAATTACAAAAAAAGTAGAGAGCACTGAACACCTGAGTTTGATCTTCCTTTGTTTAATTCCTTAAAAATCAGAAAATTTGCGTGTTTAAATCCCGGTCAGGGCAGTAGATCTGTCATTACTACATCCCATTACATCTTGTAAACAGCTCTCAAACACAACATGACCTACTTTGTATACTGCCTGGGTTTTGTTTACTTAAGTTGACCACAGATAATCTATACTTATCTAACTATATTAAAACTGTATGATTAAGTATCTACTTGACTGTTTGTTATGTTTCAGACCTTACTACAATATAGATATTTATCACTTGAAGGCACTGATCCTAGACTGTCTATAACAAATGTTTCTCATTTCAACAAATATTGAACACCGGCTTATTTCTAAGCATATTTATGAGAGTACATAATCTATCTTTAAAAAAAGTTTGATAGAAAACAAGAGATATGGACATACCTGATATTTAATTACTATTTACTTTTCATCCTGTACAAAAAATTTCACATGGATTTCTGGCAAAATATGTTAGTGTACATCCTGTCTAATTTTAGACCATTTGTATCTGAAGAAATACAAATTATATGTGATTCTTGATGGAATGTTGGCAGATTCTTGGTGGATCCAAGGCAGGAAACAAGCTGATATACTTAAATGAGTTAAGGCAAAATTCTGTTAGTAAAATTACTAGACTAGGTGGATTTCCCAATTTCAGTGGGTTCCGCTTAGAATCCAGGCAGTTTCTAGGAAGAATTCACCAGAGAGTTTCTTACAGGATTCAAATCTGTCAAATAATTGCGGACACAACCAAACATCCAACTCCATAGTATAAGATCTAGAGTTTCGAATACAAGATAAGTTATATTTGTGACCATATATTAATTATATTTATATAATCAGGTATTTGGTTCAGGAAAAATGACACAAGCAGGATAACAATCCATCAAAGAAAGAAAGATTTTTTAAATATCCTTTCTCTTGTACATGTTATTCCAACTACCACAATACTAGAAAGGAATTCAGAGTCACTTTTCTTCTTGACATGACCACACAGTTTATATAAAATGACTCATTCTTCCACAATGTTATTGTCCTGTTGATGGGTTAGCTAGT